ATAAAATCCTTTAGGTTTTTTATAGATCAATACTACATCCTTGATCTTATTCGGCGAATACAATAATCGGGGAATATGAATATTCATTTTAATTATATCACTTAGAAAGTCATAAATACACAATATTTATATAAAATCCACTTTAAAATTAATATTTAATGAAAAACACGTCACTGTCTTCAGTAGCTTAAGCTTAATAGTCAAGTATACAGTATTTAAGCGATAGAATAACGGCGCATCTAATATTTTTTTCTCTGGTGACGTGATACTTACTTATAAGTTTTTAAAATATCTACGACATCCGACTGAAAACCTCTTTTTGAAAATTTGAGAGTAAATTATCTTTTATGAAAAATAGTTTAAAGCGACATTTTTTTAAAGAAAGAACGTCACAATGGAACAATGACCTAATATGTACCACAAAGCATGTCACAGAATTTCAAACCACAATCAACTTTAATCCCGTCATATCAGGGATCAAATCGAATGCAAAACTAAAACCACTCACATTAATCAAATAAAAACTCATCAGTAAGACATGAACACTTCAGTTTGAAACATAAAACCACAGACATGTATTAAAAAAAAGAATTGGACTTTGAATATTAACAAATAAGGTTTATTATTGATGGTGCATTAAAATTTTCCATCGACATCTATTTCTGTGTACGACAACGGGCAATGAGTCATCTTTCGTTTAACGAGCATATTTCGTTACAGAAAACTGACTTGTGTTATTTTCCGCTAATAACAATACAGCCTTCGATTAGATGTGTGGCGATAAGACACGTCACGTATTGTTTCAATCTTCCAACGAGTGTTATATTAATTCAATACCTACAAGTGGTAGGTAAAAAAAAATATTGGGCGATTGAAAAATTTAAGAAGTACTTTCATGGACGTTGTGTTTATGGGTCCTAATCCTGTTATTGTGTATCATGGAAAAAAAAACACGTTTGGAGCCCCCTTTAAATATTTATTTTATTCTGGTTTTTAGTATTAATTGTTGAAGCTGCAACAGAAATACATCTTTATTTTCAATTGTTTTTCATAAAAACTTTGCACTGATTGAAAAAAAAACCTCATCAAAATCCGTTACGTTGTTTTAAAGATTTAAGCACAGCGAAAGTGACTTTGTTTTATACTATGTAGTGATATGGATTTTTAATTAAATAAAATAGATCAAGAGTTTTCTAAATTGATATTGCTTCAAATTGTAAGATTAGTTGTAAGATTATACTACAAAATTGATTAGAACTCTGAACAAATTAATACTTCATTAAGGTGAAATTCTATATCCAACCAGAATAATTAAGCATTCAAATTGGGAATACTCTTACATTGATCAAAAACTTCACACTCTCTTTATAGGTATATTATTTATATACAAAATACACAGAAAAGTAGATCATGTATCGATAAAGATTATCGGTATATGACACAGCCTTGCGTTTGATAAACATATCGTTAGACACTATAACGGCGCATTTTTTAACGGCCGTTATGATAACGGTACGCTTATTATCGCTTATATTAAAACGAATTAAATGAGTAGAAAAAGTAAGTTTACCAAAATTAGTTGCTTCGTATTTATCGGAAAATGCAACTATTTAATTTTATTTATTTCATCTTTACTTTTAATAGATACATTCTTCGTGAAATTTCCTGTCAAACAAAGAAAACAGTGAAACCAGTCATGTGGTCTAGAAGACATATCTACAGTTGCACAATGTCCATTAAAATTGTCAGTAGTTTTAAGTGAGATTACTGTTACAAAAAGTCAAATTTAAAACATATACCTATTAGAGCAGTGTTTTTCATTACTTTTTTCAATACACTGCTGCTTTCTACGTTGAATTACCTAGAAAGCTTGTTTAATCTTTAACAATAATACAATATTCTTTAAATAAATGTAAAAATAAACAAAATAAAAAGAGTACATAATGCGTTGATACTCATCTCCATGATGTATGTTTACTTTATTTTTTTATTTCAATTTTATCCAGCCCCTGCTCATATAAAAGTATTGTTCATATAATTTTCTAAATGTTCAGACGTTAAAAAACTTATCTAACAATTCAATCGCAACGAGAACGAAACCTCATACAGGCAAATGAATACGCAAACGAATATTCTAAGAATTGCTTCTCGACTACAAGCAAAAGAATCGACTAAATTTAAGACATTCCATCAAAACTGTCACAATAAATGTCAAATATTGCTTACGACGCATTGTTACAGCACATTGCAGTAACATAACATATAAAAAGCGGAATATCATAATAACAACGTAAAAAAATAAAGAATATAAGGCAGACGCTTTAAATGTACGATAAAAACGAAATATGAATACACACCCACTGGTGACGTCGTTAGCACAAAATCAAACAAATGTTCCGATAGAAATTTTAAATCTTCAAATTTAGAACACGGTTGCGCTCACGCTTCTCTCGGGAGTACTGAGCGGCGAGCGGGCGCTACGATAACACTATCGCGTCGATAGCGTCCGTTAGTTAGACGTAATGTAACGAAACGATGCGCTAAGTCATAGATTATAAAATCGCAGAAGAGGTATTCTTGGCATGCGCTACTACAAGATAGCACTCCTTTTTAAAAATATGAAGTGTTGCTATTATTTTTACTTAATCTTCATTTAGGTCAATCGGAGGATATGGATGGATTGTGGGACGAGCTTGTCCAAAAGAACCCTGATCACACTCACTTTAAAAACACTTGAGACATTAACGAATATGCTAAAGATTTTATCAAGTGTGTCATACCAATGTGAGGAAAACTAACAATTGGTTTTAAAAATTTGGCCAAGGAAGAGGCCAATGTAGCTAGGTCGAAATTTCTATTTTAAATCTGGACTCATAAAGAACAAACAAAATATTCTTTAGATTAATATCGTTAGGATTAATATAATTGTCTAGGTAAAATTTGCGAAAACTATGGAACAAATGCAAACAGTGTGTATATTTATTGAGGTTGAAAGTTATCTCTCAAGTAAATAGACAAATTTGTTTTCCAAGACAAAATACTTTGATTTATCATGAAAAACAAAGTCGTCAAAATTGTCATGAATAAAATTACTATACTTATAAAATCAAGCACAATACTTTTGTTTGGGTGTTTCCCGTGATAAATTAACTAAATGATACATATTTGATCAATTATTATTATCTCGTAATGCTGTTATAAATAAACTTTGTTTTAAGGTCACGAACTTCGATAGATAACACTCATCAATCTTCTTGTGGTAAATTATTAAGATTTCATAATTTAATAATAAAGTAATTTGATCAAAATTGTATTTCATTTCATAAATTGACTATTGCCTAATCGACGATGAAATAACTAGTCTCAAATAGTTAATGCATGCATCAATGTATGATAGAAACCTACTTTGTATAGTATAAGAGTTTATCTTTATCGAGTTCGGATCGATGTTATAGTTCTGTCAGTAATGTTATTATATATACAAAGAAATAATAAAACAATATATCATATTAATAACTTACAAAAATAGTTTTAAAATATTCGGAGTTTCATAATTTCTCTAGTCAGGATGAAGCTAAATAATACATAAAAGATTATAATAAATGATAGTATCTAAATAAGTAATAGGCAAAAATGTAATGTTTTTAAAAAAAATAACATATCTGTTAAAACATTGATCTATGACAAATCGATTTTGTACAGGAAAATGATCAAGGTTGTCAGTGTTACGTGGTGCTTTTTTTATCACACTTAGAACGTAAAACATTATTTTTTAAGTAAATTTGTTATGTAGCCGTATTATAATAAACGTTAGCAAGCGAGTTAGTAAGCGAATCTTGAAGAAAATGAGAAACAAACACGTTATAATAAGTACTCATTGATGCACTGTGTTTGTCGACCCTTCTTACAAAATTATTTTCCTTTTGAATCAACCCTTGCATAGCTATGCAAAACAGGTATTGAAAGTCCACTACAAACGATATCATACTCACGCAAGTTTTTTTTCTTTTATATTTCTAGACTGAATGAACCTCGAATGTTAGTGTAGTGATTTTTACATTTCTTTTAGATGTTTATAACTATTTTTTAAATTCCGTATGTATAGTACTTTCTATTATTTAAATCGAAATATTAATAAAAAAGCTGTAATTATATCAGTTGACAGCCCTAAAGTTTTGTCCTTCACCTGAACAACAAAAACGAGTTTATTGACCAGCCACATTCGACGATACTTAAGATTTATTGTACACATACATGGAGTTAGGGGTCAAAATTCTACGAAAAGCAAATATTTGTTATATCTCAGAGATACTTGGAATGAGTGAATTATTGATTATTTTTGGTACTGATAAAATTTTCAAAAACGAAGAAAGTTCATAAAACTACACTTGAAGCGTGTTATGCAAAAAGGTTGCAATAAGATTATGTTTTGTTATAATTAATAAAAAAGAATTACCAAATAGACTTTCACGGTAACACTTTTGACCCAACGGAGCAATTTTTGCAATTATATCAAGTGAATATGCTAATCTATAAATTTAAACATACTTTGAAGTAACAAAAAAGAATGCTGCCATATAAATATATATTTTAAACAATTACTGCAGTTCTCATTGTGTAAGCGAAGACTATAAAAACAAATGGTGCATTATATTAAAATCATGGTATCATATTAATTACGAAGAAAGTGTATCATTAGACTATCACATAGCCAGTAAGTACTATTTGGAGTACAGTCGGTATCCAGTGACAGAAAGACCACACTTGTATTGTCGAGCATATTTTATACATAGTTATATAATTCATTGTTATTTACATTTGTAATATGAAACAGCAATTATGTCCCTGCAAGCTTAGTTTATTTTAGCGTAAAATTTATGATTCACGTATAATGTTATTTCTTTATCAAAATTAAATTAATATGTACCGTAGATATATTGTGCTTGTTTACTTTATTACAAATAAATGTTTGAACTATTTTTAACGATCTCTTTACTTACCAAAGGATGATACAGAAAATATCAGGAGAACCTAAGGGTACCGCAGGCACCCTACGACTGATTAACAAACAGCATACCCTAGTATTATATAGAGAAAATAGCGCGCGAAAAACGAACGGGCCAATACGGAAACAGGAAGGATTTGCTACCACAATTCGAAATCCGAACGCTGTGTAAGGCGAATTGTTCGCGCCCTTTTGTTGACAATTTGTTATTTTTTTCTATATTAAGTTACTTGAATCGGGACAAAAAGTATAATCGTCGCAGTATCGATTCTTTTTTGCGGAAGGAGAATGTTTTGTTTTTTTTTAAGTGATCAATTGAGACTGATGACGCCGGTGTATTCATTTCTTTTGAAGGAAATTGAAATTACTGCTTGAGAAACACGAATGAAATTAAAATAATAAAAAACGTTTACTATAGTCTAATGGTATTTGTACCCGCTATAAATATACTAAAAAGACATATTTTCTTTTAATCACAATTTTGGAAGTATAGAAGCATCTTACTATTGTAGCATCAAATAACATCTTAGCATTTGACAGAATCGAAATTTAGTATTTGTCCTTCATATAAATAAATCCTAAATTTCGACTTCTACAGAAGTATATATAAAAAACCTAGCACAGTTATAGTCCTCGGGAAGAATCGACGAGTTACGTGCACATTCTCCAGCCGTTTTATCTCGGCAAATATTATTGGAAATATACTATATTGAATATAAATATGGCAGATATTTTTTATCAGTCAAAATAATCACAAACAATAGGAGAATTGCGAGTTAAAAATAAAAACTTTGTCAAGTTTAACAGTAAATATTCTTAATCTGTCATACATTAATAGAACTCTTGGTGTCTTGGCTCTGGAAACACTTCAGTGGAACACCACTGAAGTGTTTCCAGAGCAGAGCATTCCAGAATATGGACATAACAATGTAAGGACTAAATAAACTTCATTTAATTCGATGTGGCGGATTTTTTGGGGGGAAGAGTTTTGTGAACACTATAAAGGTACTCAATAAATGAAATACATAATTATCATTATGAGATTTCCACTGACGCATTTTGCGACCTGATAGGCGCAATGCCAGAGAGCATATTAACGATATTTTTAGGGCTGCAATGATGACGAAATAGTCATTGTGATTTCTAACCTTTTTACTGAGATCGTCGAAAGATTTTAATTAAGTAAATGTATTGGTCGCTCATGTACTCAGAGCTTGGCCTAAAGTTTGAATTCCTGCTCGACTACCTGACCTGAAACTGACAAATTTTATAAAGTATTAATAACATTGTGTATAAAATATTTATCAAATACATAATAAAGGTATTTCGATACATCACAAATAAAATTAAAAATTAGATATGAATAATTGTTTTATATCCAATTTACGCTACATTCATAGCGTTCAAAGTAGAGTACTAATGAGTAGCGAATGTGTTTTGGAGATTCCAACCTCCAAACTCCGCCAGACCTTACTTAATATAAGTATATTTATTTTGAACGAGTTCATATCTGCCAGCTTGATCTAAGGGTCAACATACAAATAAACATTACAAATTTATCTTAGAAGAATGATATTACATTTATTTCACAAAAATATTATATTTGCCAGATGTTCTCTCTAAGGATTCATTCGTGATCCATCTGTTGCTAAACGCACGTTACGTTCGTTTGTTGCTAAACGCATGTTAATTCACGAAAATTCGTTACGTCCACCTCCATCGGCTCGGTTTCATCTGTTATTATCAGTTTACAATTATTAGAAAGATTTAGCCGCTTGCTAGACCAACGAAGTTATAGTTGAGAAGAACATTAAGAAGAACCGACAAAAAACTAAGCAAACACTGGTTTCATTTTCGCACTGAACTTGTGAAACACAGTAAACTTCAACAGTATCTTCAAGACACGACACCAAATCAAGCTCTCCAGCAACGTTTTTACAATTAGTATATTTATTTGTGGGTGTATCTTGGCCGAGTGCCCATTTGGTCACGAAGACGGTTGACTCAATCCTACGGCTTCTGGATACATTTTTTTATAGATTATAATCATGGTTTTGGAGATCTTTTGCCAAGACAACTAATTAAAAATATGCAACTTATGAGAATAGATAATGTGATGACCTCGGGATTATCTGAAATATATGTGACGTATTTTTATTTTGATAACTCTCTCAACATATCTGTATTTATTAGCCACTAGCAACCAGGCCGGGTTTAGCACCGAAGCAATTTAAATCTATATTATGCATGTGTCAAAGAATGCCTAGGATATTTTTTTAAATAATGTTCATTAATAAACATTACGTTTACAAAAAAAGCTCCAAATATAACCATAGAGCGAATTATTAAATTATTTATTTGGAGCTATAAATGTGAGCTTTTACAATATTCTATTATTATCAACTAAAAAACGTAATACATATCTTGTTTTTGCTTGAAGTAAGGTTTTTTCGTATTTAGTTTCTTTGCATATTTGCAACAATTTTTCTTTTGCAAAATAATCAACAACGACCATACAGCAACAAGAGTGAAATAAAATATGCCATAACATACAGTATCATTAAAATTGTAAGTTATAGTGAACTCTAGCATGGTAAACTATTTTTATTGAAGTCTAGGTAGGTCCTAGACTAATGTGACAGGGACAAGTTTAGAGCAATTATAGCAGGCAAGCGATAATATGATATTCCGTTTGCATCGAAGCCTTCAAAACTAAACGTGCCTGTTTACATATAATTGTTTCCATTTGACTTGATGTAGTTCATTTAACTCTATTCTAACAAGTACTTTATCGAAGATATTTTCACAATATATTGCTGTCTAACCTAACCTAACCTAATACAGACATAGTGAAGAATGAATGTGTGATTATGTTGTATGACCTACCTAGGCTTTAGTATGCGTCTCTTTGCAGAAATACTGAATGCCCCAAGCCGTGGCAGACAGAACCTTAAACTTTACTGGATAACTTATGGGATAAAAACGTAATTGTATGCAGACACATATAAAATTTTATCTGGAGCGTATTATAATGCAAGCAGTTTTGTAATGAATTATGTATGACAAGCAATGAACGACATTGGACTAGCCCTGACCGTGTTTGGAGGTGAACGATGAACGGTTGAAACTCATTTGACCGCCCCAGAATAACAACTTGATGGATAAAGATAGCCAAGTTTCATACATTTTTTTATTAAAAATATAAAAAAAAAACAACTTTTACATCACATAGACAACGATACGACGATGTAAATACTGTGATATCGTTTATCAAAATTTACTTTTCTAATAACTTATAAGATGTTCAAGTTATTTCTTAGACCTTCAATGACTTTTCTTTTTCTTTGCATTATGTGCTATGTTAACTTCAAGCGGGAATGTCAAGTTCAAGCGAGGCCGTGGGCACAGGTTGTGTCAATTGATTTTCCAGTATTATAAGTTCATGACAACACGGTAATAATTGTAACGCACGTAATATATTACTAGACCCGTGACCTAAAACAGATGTTAAAATCATTTGCCCGCGCACTGTTACATCGCGTGAAGATATCAAAAATGTCACAGAAACAAATGAAGACCGCAAACAAATGGCAATAAAACCCACTTTTATTAAACTCCTTACTTATTTAAACCACAGTACAACCTTAGACTTAAATAAAATCCATAACATAGCGCATAAAATTATATTACACAATGAAGTGGAACTCAATTATTATTATTTTACGCAGAACTTGGTTCCGATTGAATAAATAATATTATCTGATGACAATCGCTAAAAAATAGGTTCTTTAATGTTTTTGTAATAAAAAAATCTAGGAGATGCTTAGATATTCAATTGCTAAGTATAAATGATCTAAGTCACACATTGACAAACAATAACCTAACTACGGACACCATCATAGCATAAATTATAGGTATAATTGTATTTTCACGACAAAAACACGAAGTTTAACATATTAATTATTAATATTATACTCACAGAGATTAACAGCTGCGTAAATATCAGATTGTTAAATACATATTTTACATCTAATTATTTGAGTTCAATTAATATCCCGCTGGATTCAAAACTGTGCATAACACCATCCAATTTTTTGTGTTGATTGGCTATAACTATTAGACGATCAGTCAATACTGTGTCCATAATATACAATATTAGTATTGTTTTAAGGCCCTACATTATTGTAATTTAACCTCTCTTTTGATGTTATTATGGGTTTTGTGAAACTAATGTTAAATGTACGATGGGGTTGACATATCCTTATGGATAAAAAACCCAAATAAACTTCAATAATATAAAAAACCATCCAAATTTCGCCGTTTCTTCATAAGTGTAATGGACGCATTATTTATAAACTATGCATAATCAGGCGTAACTCTGACATCTATTTATAAATGTCTGAATTAGATACGTGGCATGCATTCGCGTAGGTTGCTGGTTCGATTTCTGTTCATTAGTTTGTAAACAATAATTTGCCTACTTTACTAAGTCTTGCCTATAGTAAATTCGAATAGTAAATCTTTGTGATTTGGGTAGGATGAGTATTAAATTAAGTACGAGTTCATTGGGGGCGCTTTAAAAAATTGTATGGAGTTTGGTAATTGTTGTAGTTACCGCTCTTAATTAAGGCTTAACGATTAAGTGTGATCTGTATTGACTGAAGAAAAAAAATAAGTTATGAAACTAAAACCCAACTACAACTAAATCAGGCTGTTGGAGTTTGAAACAAGAAATTTATTTTATAGCGATAGCTATGTTATAATAGCGATGACCAAAGGACAGCGTAGTCGTATGCCACTGATCATAATGAAACGAACTGGGGCAAACATTTAAGAGCGTGATTTAGCTTGTAGTCGGGTTTTAGTTTTATAACTTATTTTTTATACATTTTTAGCAAAATCGTAAGCAAAGTTATCAATATATATATACTTATATAAATAATTGAAATATGCCAATTAAAGCTCTTTCATTTGATACCCAATACGGAATGATTGAACAATACAATATTTTTTATTTTTTTAGAAGGCGCTATTACCAATTTAAAGTAACGTCA